GATGGATGGATAGATGGGGGGGATAGATGGATGGGTGGGTGGGTGGATAGATGATAGGTGGGTGGGTGGATAGATGGATGGATGGATGGATGGATGGGTGGATGGGTGGATGGATAGATGGATAGATGGCATAACCAATTGGGGGAAGGCCTGGCTATGGGCAATGGAAATGCCTGAGGAATTGGTGCATCCTCCACAGGAGGAGAAAGCATGATTTTAAGAAAAGATAACCCTGTTTATTTCATTAATTCAGATAAGATCTGGCATAATCCTTAAAAGCAGATTACAAAGTGTAGACGGGGATTTCTCTCACTTGATCTTAATAAACTGACAGGAACTGATAATCCCCATCTCACAGATGAGAAACTGGCTAATAGAGAGGGAAGCAATTAACTCAGAGCCTCTCTGTTTGAAGTGAGAATCCAAACCTGGACCTGTGCCCAAGGCCCTCAGACCCCGGCAAAGCCAGAGGAAGGGCTCGGTGAGAGCAGAAATTCCAGAATTTGGAACGTTTCCTAATCTCATGGGTAGCCCCAGAGGTCATTCGGTTAGACTGAAAAATATGAAAGGATTGAAGCAGGGAGGGATGGTTTGCAGGAGGAAATGAGTGGAGGTGCTGGGGGTGTTTCTGGACAGCTGCTACGATGACCCTTCATTTCATCAGCTGACTCCAGGGTGAAGACGGAGCACGGTCCAGCTACCGGTGCTGGGCTGGGATCCAGCGCTGCCTCCTTGGTGGCGGGGGAGTAGGACAAGAGTGTGCAGATGAGATCTGAATCCACAGCTGGCACAGGGTTCCCTGCCCTTGATGAAAGATGGGAGGGGCTTCCTCGCTCTTGGCCAATGCCCAGAGAGACTGGTCAGTAACAGGGCCAGGCTATGAGCCCACCCCTGCCACATACCTGCGGGGTCATTCAAAGTCTCCCTGCCGACAGCCCCTGTGAGGGGGGGGGGGGGGAGCAGCAGCAGTGCCCGCTCACTGACCTCCCTGAGAGGTAAACAAGCGGATTCATGGAAAGCGCTTGGCCCAGTTCCTGCAACAGCCATGCTGAATACAGGTTATCTATTATTTTAAGGGGGGAGGATAATTAATAATTACAAAGTGAAAATGTAATATTTCCTCATACTAAAACAGTCACAGGAGATCAAAATACAATCGTGGCACAAGGCTTCTCATAACCTGATCCAAAAACTGGGCATCAGCCACCACTAGCAATCTGCCTGGCTGAGGAGGGCAAGGACATGCTGGGGCAAGCAACCCACATGCCCAGGAGGCACAGGTAAGGGCTGAGCAGCGTGTGGGGTGACTGATGGGTGCCAGGAGCTCAAGGAGCCAGGGCTGAGTGAGGGACTGAGTGAGGACTGAGTGAGGGCTGAGTGAGGACTGAGGGAGGACTGAGAGAGGA